TTCATGGAAGTGGAGCTCGCCGTGCTCATCGAGCAGAGCAGGAGGAGGCCGAGCCTCAGCTGGACTCTCGCGTCGCGAGTCGCAGCGACGTGTTCGCGCTGGAGCAGCGTGTGGGTTCTCTGAACCGGTATCTCCATGATACGACTGACTCTCTGAGTCGCCTTGCAGATGGTCTCGATGAGACGAAACACCGCGTGGACTGGTTTGAACAACCACAGTCGGTTCAGAACCGAGTCGCGGACCTTGAGCGTCAAGTCGCTCAGCTGCAAGGTCAGATCGACTTGCTGTTGCGTCTTGCGGCCCCGCCACCTGCTGTCGCTCAGCCCGCCGTGGTTCGGCCTCCCGCTGTTGCGCAGCCTGTCGTGGCCCAGCCACCGTTGGCGCCAACGCCTCCGCGCTCACCTGAGCAGGGTTCTGATACGGCTTGAGTAAGCCAACGTAGAAGACTGGATGCGTGCGCATCTTCTTCGGAAGGTTAAGAGTATACGCTAGGGCCCTTCTTGGCCACGACCTGGAGCGGCCCTATGAACCGTGGTCTCAATTTTGTCTTAAAGACTGCAGACACTGCATGAGTAGGTAGGTTTTTGGAATTTAATAAAACTAGGTCTCCGACCTCAAACCTTTCTTCATTGCGGCTGCCGTTGCGATCTGCATGTTTCTTTTTGCATGGTCTTGGCGTTCCGGCCATAGCGTCGCGGACTTGGAGGAATACGCTTAGTCCTCAAAGAAACAAAATCGATCGACTTGCTTGCGAACCGCTTCAGGGCTGACATCAGCTAGCCGCTCGGCTATCCCTCCCCCATCAAGCCCTGAGCCACTGCGTGGCGGCGTCAGTGGGACGCGAGGGCTAACCAAGCCGTTCACATAGAACGGAGTGTAGCCTGTCGAGGCGTGCACTGCATTATTTAATGCGAACTCAACGAGTGGGAGCATCTGGCTCCAGCGTTTTGGCGCCTCAGCGCATACGCTTCGGAGGATATCCCCCACAACGCGATTCACGCGTTCGGTTTGACCATCGGTCTGCGGATGGTCCGCTGTGGACATGTCCAAACGAGTGCCAGACACTCTGAAGAGGGACGTCCAGAACTTCGCGGTGAAGCGCGGGTCTCGATCCGAGACAATTGCCTCAGGCAAGCCATGTTGGCGAAAGACTCGGTCTAAAAACAGCAAAGCTGTACCTTCACCATCTATGGTGTCCGGCACCGCCGCTAGATGAGCCATCTTGCTCAATCGGATCTACAGAGACCATAATACACGTGTTTCCTGACTGGCCCTTGGGAAGGCCAGACATAAAGCCCATACTCATGAACTGCCAACATCCCCTTGGGGACTGTCAAAACTCGCCAAT